AAAGTTTTGGGGAAAACAGACTAACTTCTCTGATCTAATTTTCCTTGTTATAATTTATGCTTGTGTTCCAAATTGTGGGCCTGTTTTCTTGTGGGATAGGTTGAGCAAGTAATTAAGGAGCAGAATTTGTTGGATGTGTATGTTATGATAGAAGGCTACTGTCATTTGCTGGAAGAGAGGATCCACCTAATAGAACAGGAGAGGTTAGTTCAATCTCTATGCTGGCTTTTTTGTTTTTTCTTCTTGTTTTCATGAATTTTGGGTTTGCTAAGATGATGTTGATTTGGTTATGCAGAGAATGTCCTGAGGAGTTGAAGGAGGCAGTTTCAAGCACGATCTATGCATCTACGAGATGTGGAGATTTTCCAGAGCTTCAAGAAATGCGTTTGATCTTCACTTCTCAGTTCGGCAAGGAGTTTGCCGCTCGTGCCGTGGAATTACGCAACAACTGTGGGGTGAATCCAAAGGTATGTATGTCAGATAAACTGTCATTTTTGTTCTAGCAGTGACTTTTTTTTTCCCCCTGCAACGCAGAGTTGGGATTTGGATTTTTATATTTGCAATTGGTGTAAATGTAGATATTACAAAAGCTATCGACTAGGCAGCCAAGCTTGGAGAACAGAATGAAGGTGCTCAAGGAAATTGCTTCGGAGAACAACATTGTTTTGCACCTTGAGGGAGCTTCTTCAATGACTGAAGAGGTAATCTATGCAATTGTAATATGGGAAGTCCTGAAGTTTGTTGCAGTCTTATAACGTTTTTTACGACCCGAAAAGCCCTTATAACCTTGGTACATTGGAAAATCAATTCATCCCTCCTTGAAGAAAGCATAAACGTGCCATTTTATTTCGATGACTGCAATTCCTGTACTAACTCGCTAACTCACATATAACAGCACCACTTATTCACTACCCCATGTTTAGAAAAGCATTTATGAATTTAAAAATGCAAATAGAGTGCTTGCCATTCTCTAGGTTATCAATGTGTATTGACATCTGGAACTGGAAAAATACTAATATGGTTGATTTGTCCAAAATGAAAACACTTCTTTCTTATGATGTGTTTGGTTGTCGGGGTAATCTGCAGGAAAAGTTGGAGACAGAACAGAAGCTGCGGCAGCCAAAGCCAGATTCGTCTGAAATTTCAGGTGCCTCTGATAAATTGCATAGTTTTGCTCAGGAGATAGAGAACATGGAAGGTTTGTCTGATTCAATGACAAGGCAAAGATACAAGGATGTAGCTGATGCAGCAGAAGCAGCTTTTAAGTCAGCAGCTTATGCTGCAGCAGCTGCAAGGGCAGCTGTGGAACTATCCAAGGCATCGTCTCACTACCCTGATGATCAGAACAGTCCTGGTGCTGGAAAGAGATTGGTAAATCATGATATAGAATCTAATATTGAAACCGATGAGGAACACACTGATACTCGAAACTTTCTTGGTGCTGGAAAGAGAGAGGGAAGTCATTATATAGAATCTGATATTGAAACTGACGAGGAAGACAATTTGAGAGGGATTGAGGATGAGAATGTTGGCTTGGGATCCCTGAAAGTTCATCCACTTGAAAGCTACCATTCTGGATCTGAAGATGAAGCAATTCATATCCAACAAAATCTTGCAGAATCTGAAGAGAGTAATATAGCAATTGCTGTCTCAAATTCAAATTCTGACAAGGATATTTTAAACGCTTCAAGTGTAGAGGACAAGATAAGGCCAGCAAGAGAGGGAATAAATTTTGATGAGAGTGATGATGAGACTAAAAATGAAGAAAGTGAAGTATCATTAACAATGATCCATGAATCAGATTTGGATATGAAGCCTGGCAAAGGTTTGGATTCCAAAAACACTAGTTCTAATGCGGCTGATGAGGATCTTTCACGAAAAGAGGATGGAAAAGTCTATCAGTCTCAGAAGAAATCTCGTTTGAGCCATCTAGAAGGTCTGAAGGCAAGGCTCAGGGCCTGGAAATCCTGAGGCACATTCTTGCTCATGGGATTTTAAATTGAGAGGCAGGAGAACCTCCGTGGCTTGGAAGAGTACAAGGCTGTTCAGAGACACATTTACAATATCAGGAATTGATGGTTTGCTGTGGTATATAAGTATTTGTCTACACATTAACTTTGTTTGTTTGGACGGTCATTTTTTTAGCAATGTTTGGCAAAAACGTAAACTTAGTTTAGAGGTTTGGGACGGGGGAGAATTTTTTCAATTCTTCAATAAATCTCAATCATTGTTCTCTTCCTAGGATTTCACATTTATTGCAAACTTTCTATAGCAATATAATCTATATGGAGAAACGAATAAGACATAAAATATGGAAAGAGATGGACATGACTCTCGAAAGAATGGAAAAGAAGTGAAGAAGAAGAAAGAAGAAAGAAAATGTCCAAGTAATACCATATCATAACATGTTCAGATAGATTAAGGTAAATTACGCCCCTGTAATTTCTGATTGTTTCAAATCCATCATTGTGCAACAAAGGAAAAATTTGAGGCTGGTATATATGGGAGATGGATACATGGGAAGTTGCAGTAAATATGTAAAAATTATGAGCGAGCAAGCTTTTGTTATAATTTTATCTTATGAATCCAAGGCTTTCATACTTTACCTTTATGTTTGAACAATTGTCAAATTGAATGTAACGATCTACAAAAGATGGTATAACTGAGTAGAAAAAAAGGGAAAGAGCTACGTAATACCTCTAGCCAAAACCTTGCGGTGAAAATGAGACTGAAGCGTCTGATACAATATGGTATCCAAGGTTCAAAAAATCGAACCGTTCATTGAACCGGAAAATTTACCATTTCACGGTTCACCGATCGACAGTTAATTGAACTGTAATCGAACCGTGATGTCATAATTAGTAATATATATATATATATAAACAATGCACCACCAATCTAATATTCAAAATAAATATAAAATATCTAAATTATAATTGTTTAAGTTAACGCTTTTTAAATTAAAAAAAATTCACAAATCACATCTTTCTTACATTATTATAATTTTTCAGGAAAAGAAAAAAATAATAATATCAAATAATTAGAAAATAAAATTGTGATAGAAATTTAAATAGTTTTTAGATTAAAAATAATTAAATTATTCACATTTCATTCTTGAAATGAAGTTACTCAAATTTAATCAATTTGGATAATACATGAAAATAATTTTTTATTATATTAAATTTTTAAATATAAAATTTTGTTGAAAAATGTAAATCATTTTTTATGATATGACATCAATTATCAATATATATTTTAGTAAACGTGAGACTTTTAGCAAACAAGTGGTGGTTTGGCGGTGGAGTACTACACTTTCAACTTATTGACACAAGTTCAATTCCTAACAGTTGTAGTATTTTCACATTTTCAGAAACTTATTTAGATCGTTCAGTTCAATTGAACCATGAACTGTTTAACGGTTGGACTGGTAGTTCGAACGATTTTCATAAAATAATTTGATTTTCTTAATACTACCGATTTTTAACAAAAATCGGACCGGTAACATGACCGGTCAACAGTTAGACCAGTCCAACAACCCGATCCGATCCAGTTTTTTAAACCATGATGGTATCTCGAACACATTCCCATAGCGCCGTCCATATACAATTTCCGGTACCCATACTGAAGAGTTAAAGCAACTTAGGGGCGGATGGGAGTATAAGACATAGTAGCAAAAGATATAGTGGGATAAATTTGTGGATTAAATAGTATTACCACATGTTTAATTCAACAAAGAAGAAATGGAATAAAATTTTAAATTTACTAAAATGCCCTTACAGGTAAAAAAAAAAAAATCAAGCTGGGTTGTGTCAGATCATCCACCTCCCTCTGACAACTGGCCACCGCCCATCGGCCACTCCCCTTGACATGCCAGGCTGGGTCAACCCGTCTAGCCGACCTAGGCAGACCAAGAACCCAGCCCAGAAGAGGAACCGACAGCTATGAATGACCTCTAGAAGAATCAGGTCGTTCGGGCCAGAAGCCATGAACGACGTCCAAAAGCCGGTGGTGGGCGCAAACAGCGACCGCCGAGGTAGATCGACCCTCGCGGTGCCAGCGGTTGGCGTTCCAGAAGAAGATTGTGGGCGAAGAAGATCTGGGTTTTCAAATCGGGCTAGACACCATGGACGAGCTCCAGAAGTTCTGGCGGTACCAGCGGTGGGCGATTGCGTGTCGTCTCCCTTTGTGCTTGTGGGCAATTGCGAGTGTCTGCCTTTGCGCTTGTGGATCGCCATCGTTCGGGTCGTTCGGGAGGACGAAGACTGGTTACGGCTCGTGGGCAATCCGGAGGGCATTTCCGTCCAAAGAGGCTGTTTATCCGAGGGGGGGGGGGATAAATTTTATCCCCCCACACACGGCAAATAAACTATCCCATATACACAGATACATATTCTTATCCAGTTCCATTACACACCAACCAAACGCGTGTAACGGTTGATAAAAATTATCTTCTCAGTCTTTCTCAGTCCTACTGAACAGCTCCTTAACTGTAAGCTTTATCCGGATAGTTTGTTTATTAGAATTTACATTTCCAGGCTTCTAAAAATTACAAATCCGTGGGATTTTACCTTAATATTTACGTAGACCACGCTCATTTAAGTTGTTTATCAATAGAATTCCAAGAAAAAGAAACAGCAAAAAGCTGGCTATATCACTCTTCATTCAAGAAGATAAATCCCAAATTTCCTGGAGCCTTGTGGTTGATTTTTTGGATCTGTTGTCTGGATTATACATTAGCTCTTACATCATGCATCATATATAAAATGGACAGCAGGAACATCTTTAAAGAGTAAATTCCCTATCATGCACCATATACAAAGTGGGCGGCAAATAACATTTCTAAACAGTAAAATTACCAAAGTGAACATGTCAGACCTTGGAGACGTACAGAATCCCACAAATATCTGCTGATTTACCTTCGCATGAACACTAGGCAGCATATTTGCACAGTTTACAACTTGCAATTTCAAAACTTTGCTGAGTTGTGAGGACCCCAGAAGTCACTGACCTCTCGCTCGCTTCTTTCCATGTTGCATTAGATCACAGAATGACTGCAAGCTCACACCAACGTCTTCATCATATTCAATACCAAGTTCTTCCTATAAAATATTGACAGCCATTAGACAAATAAAATTTGCAAGTATAAAGCATAAATAGTTATATGTCACCTTAAATTCTTTGAGATCCTTGGGTGAATTTTCTGTTATGGCATCCCATAAGTCTCTGAACATCCTTTTACGCCTTCTCCACTGATGCATTGTATCTGAATACATGCACTCCACGGCCTTTCTTTCTTCTGGGCTCACAAGGATGACTCCCCCACGCAGTTTAATCAATTTCTCCTCCATTTCCTCAACCTGGAAAGTACAAAATCAGAGAAAATCTATGAAATCTGCGGATCAGCTTGGAAAAATGAAATTAGCTATCTTAATTCACGTACCTCCTTTTTTAAGTTGGCTTCTTTTGCTTGTATCTGCTCCAATGTTAAATTTGACTGCAGAGCTTTAATTTCTGTTGCAAGAGGATATCTTAACGATGAAAATGAAAGATTATATTTATATGCTAACACTGTTAATGGAAGAACTGTAATGATTTTCAAAGTCTATTACAATCAAGGATATGCACAAAGGAATCTCGAAATAGCATTCAGAAAAGAGTGAAGAAGTTAAAAATAAAAATAATATATATGGTTCCATGGCAAGCATTTAGGAGTTCAAAGGAAAAGTACCTCCCTCAACCTCAGTAATTGCTCTTTTTTGTTTTACAAGCTTCTCTTGCAGCTTGGCATTTTCTTCCTTCATCTGATTAAGCTCTTCACTGTTTGGAATATTGAATTGATCTTGCCGTGCAAGGTATATTTTCTGCTTACCATATTCCTTGAATGATATTCGGCCGCTGTCAGCAAGAGTGTCCAATGCCTTTTGTATTGCTGCCTTTTTGAGGTTGAACTTTTGTAGAGCATCGGCAACATTCTGAGAATTTAATGGTCTGTTTTGCTGGAAATGGAAAAAATATACAGATGTCAGAGGAAGTAGAGTTCAAACCCCAATTGAATTGGCAGGCATAATTGTAAAGAGATAAAACACATTCAGAGCTATTCAGAAGCACAAGAAGATTTATCCGACACCGGCCATATGCCCATATGTTCTAGCAAATGAAAATTGTTGCAACACATTACCAGAAAAGGGAGGAGACTTGAAGAATAAATTTCTGAACAATCTATCTTATAACAAATATTGGAAAGGGTCGAAAATTATAGATTAAACACGGACTGAATTATTTTTCTATGTGTAACGGCAGAGAAATTTAGATGTTTGGGGAACACCTATTCATTTTCCTCCTATTTTTCATTGTAGTAAAAATAAAAGCAAGAAATTTAGCTCTGTTATTTCATTTTCTTTCGGCCTTCCCTTGGCATAATATAGCATAAAAGTCTCATTTTATGGCTTTCAAATTGATAGAAAGAAATTGAATCACTAATCGACTAAGACTTACACAAATAGAAGGCTTTATTCAGGATGAGGACTTTTGTGTTCTACAAAATTAAAAATACAGGTCATCCATTTCTTTCCTCATTTGTTTTTACACTGTCCTGCTAATATGGAGCCATATAATCTCGATTATTCTCAGAGAAATTGCAAGATCAGAAAATTAGATGTAGACTAGGGAATCATAAATGAAGATCAAAACCTCTCACAAGGTTCAAAATTCCTTTCCTTTCTTGTTTAGTCAGTAATCAAATACATCCACCATAACCTAAACGAACTACTGTATAACGCCGAGCTGAGAGATAACTAGTGGAGTCTGGATCCAGATAATCTCATACTCCATAACTTGAAGCAAACCAATCGAATTAGGACATATATACAAAAACGCGTCGAACAACACCATCAATATCAGAGTATAGTAAAAAAAGTGAACTAGGTAAATCTAATAAAAGAAAGCTAAGTATCAAACTAAAGCTTTACCTCGTTCACGTAGTTAAGTACAGTTCCTGCAAATTGGACCAAAGAGAACAATTGAGAAGTGATAATATTCAAGGATCTCTGTAGCTTAAGATAAACAGATTGGATACTGAAACCATTAATTTCTAACGAAATGAGATTACAGTCGGAGCTCGTGTATGTTGGCAGTGAATGAAGTTACAAGATGCGTTAAATCTGAAAGAGAGAGAAAAAGAGAGAAGTATGACCTTCGGTGCTCTCGGACCTGGGGGCCATTGATCTGAGAAACGCTGAAGATGAAGCTTGCGCGGGAAATTTCTGCAACTCGTTTTCTTTAGTTTGGCTCTCAAAATCCCAAGAGCACGCTTGTAGAGCAAGATGAGCTGGGCCGAAGCTCGACCCAAACGATGTCGTATAGACAAACGTGATACAACCATGTCGTGTAAACAAATTTACCGAATTACTCCCCACTTCAGCGAGAAATTTGCGAAAACAACTCTACCCCAGAAAAATGCCCAAACCATAATCCAATAGCGATTGAATGTGAGCACGCCACGTGGACTTTTGCCTCCCCCTCAGTCCCGGGGCACGAACTTCCACAAAGCCCAGTCACCTGTGGCGAAGACGGAGATGGCGACGGTGATGGCAACCGCAACGACGTCCTTGCTGAACAGCCGTCAATTTCTGTTGTCGTACCACCACTTGCTTCCTAGAAGGAGGAGAAAAGAGGTCGAGCTCAGAGCCAGGACTTGGCCTTCGTCTCCTCTTCAGTTCGTCTGCAAAGACGAGAGCCTTCTTCGAATGTCTTTCTTTTGTGGAGCGACTCACCGGAAGTCCTCCGTCGGCCGCGAAACCTCTGCTCCTCCTCTTAAGGAGGGGAAGATGAGAACGTACGGCGGGTCCTGCAGGTCGCTTTATGGGTCGCCGAGGGGGTCTATATCTTGTGGCTCTTCTTGCTTCCCTATGCCCCGGTATGAATCGCATTATCACTTCTGATTTACCCTAACTAGTACCTATCGATTTGACTAAGTAGAATGCACAAACACACTTGGAGTTATTTATTTTTCTATAAATTGTTTTTCTGCAAGGATATGCAGGGAGACATTCGTATTGAAACTTGTGTGGTGATAATTTCAGCTCAATCTGTTGTTAAATCCGAATTAGTTCTACTGAATATGTTTTTACTCTAATTAGCAGCATCGTGAAATGAGATATTTTCATGTTAATGTAATTTTCGTTTTGAATATTGAGTTCCTATCCGTTCAATTAGGATCCTCTAAGGGTCTGAGAATGGCGGATAAACATTTAATGCAGTCTCCCGTAGATTGCCAGCAAGTAGCATATAGTATTCTCTACATTTTCAGGTCAGGAAGAAGAAGAACTAACCTTAGTTGGAACTGATACAGTTAGATCATTAATCATGTCACTGTTCATTGAGCCACGTTTGTGGTTGGAGTTAATATTATTTTAGTGAGAAGGGGGTTTGTCATATGGAAACGATTTTGACTTGTACTATAGGATTTCACTAATTTCTTTTTTCTCACTTTACTTCAATTAGATGACAATGAAACTCGAGAATCAACAGAAATACAAATATGCCCTTTAACTTCCATGGAAAATAAAATGGTCGGACTTTAATTAAGCTTCTTTCCTGTGAATTCAGATCCATTTAACACCCTTTTGGTAAAATTTTCTGAAGTTTCTGCGACAGTTTGCCCTTCTGGTTCGCTATTTATGAGCTCAAGGGCTGCATCCACGATTGTCTAGTCTCGGAATAGAAACTAGTGGGGCATCTCGGAATTCTTTAAATCTGGGTTTTGATTAGATTGTTAAAATCACAGCATTGATCTTTTTCAAATTAACTTAAAAATTTTCTTGTATATTCTTCAGGGGGATCCTATATGGGCCATCAGTTCAGACACAATCAACTCTCTGGTGGGCCTGTCTCTGAATTTCTTCTTTATTCTTCCTTTAATGAACTCTGGTATGTTATTTGCTGATTATTGGAGGACTATTGATCTGTTCTTGTGGCCCTTTCATCTTTTTTCTAGTGCTTGTCTTTTAGGATTGTTGGTTCACGCTTGACCACTATGAAGCACTTTTACTATGTAGATTTGTTGCCACAAAACAGTACTCAACAATTCCTTGACCTCAGATATAAACTATAATTAGATTGGCTGCTTATAATGACTTCAATAGGACATGATCAGTCTTTTGCTTTAGCAGTCAATATATACCGGTTCCTTTATCTCTTAAATTATCTCTTAAAAAACAAGCAACTTTTTGCTTTGTAGAATGTTCGTATAATAGTTTTTTTTTTTTTTTAATATATTAAATTTCTTCTTTGTTTTAAATTTTTTGGTTGACCTATGAACTGAAGACCTCTTTATCTAGAATTAAGGAGGACATTTGTTCCTCCACTAGAACCTACAATGTTATGCCAAAACCAAATGGGCTTAAAAGGTAACCATTAAGCTTGCCTTATTTTAAGGATTTGATATTATAAGATGTTATTTTGCTTCAGTCTCTCTCTCTTTCTCTCTCTCTGTCTCTCTGTTTGTTTATTTTTCTATGTGTATAAATGTACTATTGTGGGGCTGTCACTTTGTGGTTTTCTGTCTAAACCAACCTCTAAACACTAGCTTTCACTCTTACTTTTGCATATTGATTGTGGCTGTGAGTTATAAATTTCTTCCTTCCTGCTTTTTAACTTTATAGCATTCATAATTTGTTTAAATGAACTCTTTTGGCAGAGTAGTTGGTATTCGTCTAATTGATTCTCCAGTACTTCACCCGGTAAGGAATAGGAATTATTATGTAAATTCCAAATAATGCATAACATTCATCTTGTTTGTTAATTTACTAATCAATCTTGAGATGAACAGTTGACTTTCAAAGAAAAAGAAAATCTTGACACGAAAAGTGTTTTTTAATGCAGATGGCTGAGGGTTTATTCAACTTTGTTATTGGGTGGACTTTCATGTTTGCTCCTTTGCTATTCACTGATCGTAAAAGGGACAGATACAAGGGTTCATTAGACATTTTATGGGGCTTCCAAATGTTTCTTACAAACAGTATGTCCACTAAACTCTATAAATAGTCTTTTCTCATTATGATCAACTTAGTTCTGGATGGTACTATTTCGAATTAGGCCCAAACAATTGTTGTAATTTGAATTGTTTAGGTTGGTTTATAGAAGTAAGGAACTGCAGATATTCCATTTCCTCTGCAATTTCACTTGCCTAATACATGCCTGGTTCCAACATAACATGATGCATGGGTCTCAGAGCCAAAATGACACAGAATATTTCTATGGATTGGACATGAGTCTCCAAGTGCAGAGACATACATCTTTGTTTCATAAATTTTAGTTAATTCTATATCTCTGGAATGTAATATGAAATATATTCATATGTATATTTGGATGGTAGAGATGGAATTGTTTCCATAAAATTAAGGTTATTTTTAATTGATATTGAATTACATCTAAATCATGTGCTGCTGTTGATTTGAGAATGGTGTTGCTGGAAACGTGATGATTGAAAATATAGAAAATTTATGTTTCTACCACTTCATTGCCATTTTTGTGCCCTAACATGCTTGTTATTTATCCTGTCTGTGTCGGTGCTTGTTAGTTTCTGAATTATTTCTCAGTCATCTAGATGAACAAGAAGAGGATCAACAATGCTACAGAAAAATTTTCTGATTGCGGCATTCTTCTCATAGGATGGGGAGGGCAGATTGTGAATTGCTGAAAACTTTTGACAACTTAAGATAAAAGTCACAGAAGACTGTGATAAACTATTTAAAATTTCAAAAATGTGTTATTATGGCTATTATTTCCACTTTTGCTCCATGTGCCCACTGGGTGCAATGGTGTTGGGTCCCGGGGGGGGGGGGGGGGGGGTTGGGTTTTGTTGTTGCTGCTGGGTGCTGGGGAGCTGCAATACAAGATATTAGCAGTGGTTTATCTTGTCTCCTATCACCGTCCTTTCCTCGTGTTGAAGTCCTGGAAAGTGCTAGTTCAAGGTCATGAAAACAAAAACTGGTGCAGGTTTTTTTTTTTTTTTTTGCCTCCAAATATACTGATTCCTGTAACTAGTTGGACATTTTCCTTGATTATGCATGTTGTTATATTATAGTTAATAGCCATGTAAGTACTCTATTAAATAGTTGTGTGGTTTTCAGGCTTGATCGTAATTAGTAAGTTTAATTCACTTTTTTCATTTGACGTGAACTATGATTTTCTGGTGCCAGCATTCTTAATACCTTACATGGCAATTCGGCTAAATGAGGGTGATGCTGAAAATACCCCAAGAACGCCCTCTCAACTAGGCTCCGTGATGACTAGTGGTGCACCTTATGTTGGTCTCATTGGCAGTGCCGTGTGTCTGATATCTACATTGTGGGCACTTTTTGGCCGTCCAGATAACAACTTTGGGGGCATAACAGACAGATGGGATTTCTTGGTGAATTATCTTGGATCTGAGAGGCTGGCTTATGCATTTATTTGGGATATATGTCTTTATATGATCTTCCAGCCTTGGTTGATAGGAGATAACATACAAAATGTTCAGAAAAGCAAGATAGGTCCTGTGAATTTTCTTAAATTTGTCCCGGTAGTTGGCTTAGTCGCATACCTTCTTTTTTTGGATTTTGATGAGGAGCTATAGCTAAATGTACTATTGACAGAAACCATACATTCATCAGTAACAATGATTTATTAGATATCTTTCTGGTTCAAGTTTGTTTCTTGAGAAGGCACACATTGTGGAGATCTTTTGAATCAGTTTTTTGCATAAGTAGGAACTTTGTGACAGCATCCACCGTTAATACAATAACATGTTTCTCGAGGGTCTTTGAAAGGAGCATTCAAGATTGAAAATTTAGATCCTTGTCAATACCCAACATATTGGTAAAGCAGACCGGTGGTTGTAACTGCAGAGGTGGAAATGACTGTTCTTTTCCCTCTTGTGCACATGCAGAAGAAAAAATCAACAACTATGCTTGTAGCAATTCCAAATGTTTGTTTAGGATATTTGAAAATGGCTTCTGCTTTCATTTTTCAGTGTCCACTTGCCAGAAAAGGGAAAGAGGATAGTTAAATTAAATCTACTCTGCATCTTCCCGGGGAATCATTAGTTTGGTGGTTTTAAGTCTAAGCGAATACAGAATTTCAAGTACTGAAGTTTGTCATCTTCTTGATGTTGCATTAGTACTTTCTTGAATCAATCACATTTTATTTTTGAGTTCTTTGATGTGAGATTGACAAAATGCTTGACAGGGTGAGCTACATCTTGAAACAAATAGCATACACACAATTGTTCCTCTTGGAAAATGGGAGAGCCTTCTTGAGAAAGGTGTTTTTTGTACTTGTGTGACCTCTCGTGGTCTCAATCAAATTGCACATTATAGCAATGAACTGATCATGGCGTGGTTGTGTGTGTATGTGGAGTATATTTCTCGTGCCTTGCTAGTTGCTTTCTGTTAGGAAACTTCTATTTCAGCATGTATATGTTAGAAAAAAAAAAAAAAAAAAAAAAAAACTTGTGATATAGGATAAGAACTATTAGGAGTTGAGTTGCTTTCTTTTAGTTAGAAATACTATTATGTCTTGGTTAGATTAGGTTTTCAATTGTAACCAGAAGAGGAATAAATAGGAGAAGAGAGAGAAGAGGAGTTAAGAAAGAATCGAGTGAGAAACTAGTTGGGAGAGTACACGACCTCTCACTTTTCCTTAATGTGTTTTGTAATTGTTCATTCATCAATGAGAATTGTTTTATTTCAATTCCAAGAAGTTAAATGTATCAATTGGTGTCACAGCAACAATCAACTGAGAAGATGAATATCGTAAGAAATTGAAGATATTGATTGTAGTAGCTTCATAAGTAATACAAGACTTGAACGAGTGTTGTTAAGCTTCGTAAGAGTCATATTAGGGTTTCAAACCACGATCGATTTGTATAAGAAAGAATTAGGAGGGTAGCAAGGACCATCTGAAATTTTGTTCAAAGTTACAACAGAAATCGTGAGGGTTTCTGAAGGTCGTCAGGCAATTCTTGACCACTGCAAAGAAGAAGAAGAAAAAAGAGATTCTAGGATCGATAGAGCAGTTTGAGGGGATTGCAGAGGAAGCCAGGCTAGTTTGAGGTGATTGCAAGGGTCACTAGGCCAATTTAAGGAGATTACAAAGATTGCCAAGCAAGTTTGAGGTGATTGTGAATGTCATGGGGTTAGTTTGAAGAGATTGTGCAAATCGCTAGGTCAATTTGAGGATTGCGAAGGTCACCTGGCTAGTTGAGAAGATTGTGAAGGTCGCTAAAAGTATAAAGAGATTCTAGTATTGGAGTGTCATCTAGCGAATGAGGGAGCAAAGAAGGGCAGAAGTTGGGGCGTGAGTCAGCCAACAAACATAAGAGCTTTTGGGTTGATCAAACAGAAATTAATTTCTTTTTTCTCTTTTGTCTCTTTTCATGGTGAATACAAAAATAAAATCAAGAATGGAGTCATTAAAAAGAGGAATAGAAGCATGGAAGAGGGAAATTGAATAAGAGAGAAGACAAGCAAAAATTGACAGAGAAATTCCAGAAAATCGAAGGGAGCTACAAGATGCTCGAATGAAAAAAATTGAAGAACTTCTAAAAAACCTTGCCAGGAATTTTTTAACAGAACATTTAGGCAAAGAAAAATCTGGTAGTACTAGAAATGAGGAAATGGAGAGTGGGTCTAATAGTGGAACAAGAACTATAAGTAGTGGATAATAATGGAAGAAGCTTGAAATTCTAGTGTTTTCAGGAGAAGATGCCTATGGTTGGACAAATCGAGTTGAATGTTATTTTCATATTAAAGGAGTACTGGAGGTAAAGAAAATGCAAACAATATTAATCACTATGGAGGGTAGGGTATTAAGCTGGTTCCAATGGTGGGAATCTTGCTGTGCAAGTCCTTCTTGTGAAAGTTTCAAAATAACATCAATTAGAAGATTTCAACCAGAGATAAAGTAGAATTCATATGAATTACTATTGAGTTTAAAGCAAACCACTACGATAGTAGATTTTAAAGAAAAATTTGAACTTTATGCAAATCTTTTACAATGTACTAATCAAAAATACCTCCAAGGTATTTTCTTGAATGGTTTGAAGGAAAGGATTAGAGTAGAACTCAAGTTGCACCAGGTAGAGACACTATCACAAATGATGGATTATGCTCAACTGATCGACAAGAAGAATTTAGCATTAACAAGGATAGCGTGACAATAGGTGGTAAAACGAGAACCAATTTCAGAAGTTTTTCTTCTTCTAAGATAGTTACTATTGAAGCTAAATCTAGAAACAACATACAGGTTTGTAGCAAGAAGGATTGGGTTCATTATTGATGGACCAAATGGTACTTTCAAAAGTAGAAGAGGGGGATATAAGAGATTATTAAAAGTTAAATTATAGAATAATATTATGAAGGGATTCTGTTTTTGATGTGATAAAAAATATAATCCTAAACATGTGTGCAAGAATAAGTAATTTCAAGTGATGTTGGTAGAGGAGATTAAGGATAGGGAAATAGAAGATGGTTCTTTATCTATTGAGGAAGACTAAGATGATAAGCTTTTGCAATTGTCCGTGCAAAGTATTATTGGGTTAACTTCTAAAAGATCATTAAAGTTGTGGAGTGAAATTGGAAATAAAAAAGTGGTGGTATTGATTGATTTTATGCATTTCATAACTTCATAATTGCTAATTTGATGCAAGAATTGAATATTCCTACAAGAAGTACACTTACTTATTATGTGAATGTAGGTGATGGGTACAAAAACAAATGTACAAAAGTTTGTCAATGAGCAATTTTGAAATGGTAAGGGTTGGAAATTCAATAGGAATTATTTCTGTTTGATTTAAAGGGAGCTAATCTAGTGTTAGACATGGATTGGTTGGAAAGTTTAGGAGAAATATGAGCAAATTTTAAAGAACTAACTATCAAAATTGAGGTTGAGGGTGGATGATAATTTTATGGGGCGAACCGACATTGTCCAAATTTGTTGCACTATTGAAATCAATGGTGAAAGCTCTCCCTAATGAACATTAAGGGTTCTTTATTGAATACAAAGCTATGATTGGAGTATCTAGTGATAATGCATTTGTTCTTGTTGTGGTACAAGGAAGTTTTAGAGAGATTTGATAATGTCTTCAAGGAGCATCAAGGGTTACTTCCAGCTAGAAAGTAAGATCATGCTATTGTTCTCAAGGAAGGTACTGAAATTCTCAACTTATGACCATACAAGTATCTTTATTACTAGAAAAATGAGATAGAAAAGCTGATTAAGTAAGATGTTAACTACCGATATTATAAGACGTAGTGTTAGTACTTATTCTAGTCTAATTATTTTGGTAAAAAAAGAAAGATAGCAGTTGGAGGATACGTTTTCAATTCCTATTGTTAGTTAATTATTAGATGAATTGGGAGGAACAACTACTTTTTCTAAGTTGGATCTCAAATTGAGATACCATCAAATTACAATAAAAGAAGAGGACATTCAAAAAATTGCATTTCGTACTCATGAGGGGTATTATGAATTTTTAGTGATACCTTTTGGTTTAACCAATGCTCCTTGGACTTTTCAAGTACTTATGAATGATATTTTCAAGCCATTTTGGAGGAAGTTTGTGTTGATGTTCTTGGATAATATTTTGATGCACAACATTAATAAAGAGGGTCACACAAGACATTTATAAGTAGTACTACAATTATTACAAGAGCATAAATTGTTTTTTAATAAGAAAAAATGCAGTGTTGGTCAAGGGAGATTAGAGTATTTTTGAGCCACATTATTTCTGGCAAATGGACGACTACTAATCCTACAAAAATTGAGGCTATGTGGTTATGGCCAATATATACTGATGTGAAGGGGTTGAGATTTTGGGACTTACCAAGCATTATAGAGGATTTGTTAAAGATTATGACAAATTTGGCAAACCCTTAACTCAATTGTTAAAGAAAGATAATATTCATTGGAGTAAGAAAGCTCAAGAAGTTTTTGATTCATTACAGATTGTTGCAATAGTTCTTCCAATACTTATCACTCTGAATTTTTCCAAAACTTTTGTGGTGGCAATCGATGCTTCTAGTAAAAGGTTGGGGGTTTTTTTTGTTACAAGAAGGTAGATTGATAACTTTTGTTAGTTAAGCCCTTTTTAAAAGAACTCAAATTAAATTAGTTTGTAAGAGAGAGTTGATGGCAATAGTAATGGTTGTTCAAAAATGGTGGCATTATTTGATGGACAGGTGTTTTATCTAACAAATTGATCAAAGAAATCTTAAGTTTCTTTATGAGCAAAGATTGACGGGGGAAGATTAGTTTAATTGGACTTCCTAGTTGATTGGCTTTGATTTCAAATCAAATACAAACCAAGTTGTGAGAATCGAGTGGTTGATGCACCTTTTAGGAAGACGACTTTAGTTGCAATTTCTTTAGTATAATTTTCTAATTGGGATGATTAGTGGGAAAAGATACAAATTGATGATAAATTGAGGACTGTTATGCACAATTTGTTAGTAAATCTAAATGCTTATCCAGGTTATCAATTGCAAGAAAACAAACTTTCATATAAAGGGAGGTTAGTCATACCAAAAAATTCTGCTAGAAGATCTTTATTATTTTTGGAATTTCATAACTATGCTA